CTCCCCAAAACCCCAAAACCCCAAAACCCCATCTCTCTTTGAATAAATTGAATAGCAAGATGTCAAACAAGACTTAAGTCATTTTCTGGAGTAACATAATCGCCTTGAGTAACTTCCACTTCTCATACAGTATAAATATAATGAGAATGATGTGGGATTTTACGCCCTGAATCTTTAACTATCATCCATCTGAGAGGAGACTGGTTTAATGTCTGGTCAAATATTGTGAGCTGGAGTCACCTATTATAGTGTACGCCGGAGCTACCACAGGATCAGCAGCCTCTTGGATATTCGTCCAATATGGGAAGAGAAAGATGCTGATAGCTACATGCTTGATGACTCTTACTGCAATATGTATCCAAATGTTTCAGAATTTATAAGCTTTCATTATTGGCCGAGGATTTATAGGGCTCTCATTTGGCTTCTCAAATGTAATCGCCCCAATTTTCATCAAGGATATCAACAGTGAAGAGCTCCAAGGGCCCATGATAGCATTAGTACAGTTAGTGATTAACTGAGGATTTGTTTCTGCTGCTTTGATATCTTTTTTCTTTCCTCCATTTTATCAAATCTCTAGCACAATTCCTAACTATTGAGAACCGCTGGTTGATAGATATGTACCATGGAGAGAAATAATTGCCATCCCTGCAATAATAGCCATTACTGAATTGGGATGACTCATGTTTGTGTTTAAGAAGGAAGATCCAAGATATGAAGGGCATCACCAACGTATATCTATCTCAATGGAGAGTACTAGTACTGTTGAAACATATTACAATAATGGTTCAATCAAAGGCTCCTCTAGTGTCCAGGATATTTACAAAAGACAGCTTTCAAAGCTAGAAAAAGACACCTGGAAAAATATTTGAAGGAAAGAAGAGTTCAAAAAGGTTTTTACAGGCAGTATCGTTAGGTTTCTCCAGCAGTTTAGTGGCATAAATATAATTCTGCAATTCGCTTTTTTATTAGGCTCCATACCCAAAATATCTTCTTCAACCTTCACCTTATTGCTGTATTGTTTTCATTGATGGCAAGTTTCGTGGCTATGTATATGCTGAAATAATGATCAAATAAAGCCAATTTTGTTGGTTGGGACACTGATAGCATGCTTCTGTTCATGCATTCTATTCCAAACATTCCAAGAAATGCCCATTATAGATGTAAATATTCAGAGTCTTGGTGGTTTTGTCAATATTCTAATGGTGGTGATCATTGTGTTATTCGCAGGAGGATTTTGGTTGACCACTGCATCAGTGGTATACGTCTATGCAGCAGAAATACTAACCGATAAAGGAATGTCAGTATCATCAGTTACGCATCGGGGTTCGAATATCATTATCGGAATCCTTCCTAATTTTGGATTGAACTTCCTTCGAATTTCAGAGGACAAGATCCAGTTCCATGCAGCATTAAGCTTCTATTTCTTCCTTTTCAGTGGAATATCGATCATCGGGTTCTTCATTATCACAATCTTTGTGAAAGAGACTAAAGGCAAGACTCGGCGTGAGATCTCAAGAGACTTTAAAGAGAATGACTTTGACATACTGGCATGGTCTTGCTACAAATAATTTCCAATTTTAGATCAGCAACAGGGGTTTTGGGGTTTTGGGGTTTTGGGGTTTTGGGGTTTTGGGG